ACACACACACACACACACACACACACACACACACACACACACACACACACACACACGAGAAATATACCATATATTTTCATATAGTATGCATTATGCATTCCGTTTTTCTGTCAAAGGGTAACAATTAAAACATAAAGATTTGTCATTAAGTTTGTTTGGAAAACTTGCCCAGTAAGAAGTGAGTACTATCGATCATGCTGGGAAAGCTGTCTTTTGTACTGGAGAGAGAGTGGAGCTGGGACTTGGCTCCTTCACAGGGAACCTGACCGATGTCTTAATCCTTCTTCTATCCCTGGTGTTAATATTCTGATCCTGTCCCTTGGGGCCATTCTGCTACCTGACATCCTGAGGTAGAAGCCTCTTCTTCAGGAAAAACTCCACCCCCTTTCTCTCTCTCCTTCTGCTTTTCCTCCCCACGAGGTGTGTACCACCCCCCTCTCTCCCTCTTTCTGTCTCTCTGCCTCTTTATCTCTCTATTATAATAAACTCTCCACATGGATACAGCGTCTGGAGTGTGTAGTACTGGACTCCACCACCACCACCATGCCCGCATGGCATGCATCTGTTCAGCCCGCCACCGCATCTGCGCAGCATGGTTCCTATCCCCTCCCTTTCGCATAATAAATCATGACACCTAGACCCTCCAGCAAGTCCGTTAGCACTTTACCCTGAAATTCCTCTATGGCAAGGCTGGACTAATAAAATCCACTTCATGGAATTCACAGGGCATTTGTAAGGAGAAAACAACGTAACTGTACGTGTTTAAGTATAAAATAGCACATAAAGGAAAGAGCGTATCCTAAACCCCATTCTTCATTCGAATACCCAGAGAAAGAATTCCTGTGTCTTTTCAAAAGCCAACATAGGGCTGAGGGTACATCTCTGTAGTACAGTGCCTGCCTGCCTGGCATGTACAAAGCCTTGTACTTGATTCTCATCTCCTCAAATGAATGCATAGCTTTCTATTACAATACTTGAGGTCGTAATAAGAATAAACTAGCCCTTGACAATGAGTTGTAAGTTGTTCCTGATCATCCAGAACCCAGAGACTGTAATGCCCTTCTTCAGAGTAAATGCTCAGAACAAATCACTCTCTTAAGAGTGGTCCAGTACCCAGCAAAGTAAGCCGGGCTTTGCACAGTCCCACCCTGTTGCTCAGCTATGAGGGCCTGACGTCTCCCTAGGTTTTCACCTTGCTTAAAAAGAAAAGGAGCAACATTAGGTGGTGCTGAAGGGCTATGTCAGGGTCAGACCTCCTGATGGCACCTGCCCGGCAGCTCGCCCCTCTTCTCTCCCCAGCCAGCCCATGCTTTACTCTCTATTACTCAGCACCTCTCTGTCCCCAAAGCCACTGTCCAGTCTTGGACTTCCTGCCTTGAGCCCACAGGCAAGCATCCACCATCCTGTCTGGGCTAAGCGAGCTCCCCAAGGTCCTGTTCTCCCAAATGGCTGAGCATTCTTCTAGTCTGCCAGGGCCTGGAGGACGGGACCCAGTTGGAAGCAGAAACACAGATTAAGATGAAAGATGATGACGTCTGGGGAGAGTGACCCGAGAACTTGATTCTGGTCACAGAGGTGTTAACGGCCACTTAGAACTAATCAGAGCTTTGATTTGCAGATTTCTGAGAACACGGAATTTTCCTCTGTGGCTGTAAGGAAAAGAATGAAAACGTGTCTTTCCCCCGGGAGAACTTCAGCAGGACATGAGGAGGTGAAGGAGGAGAGGTAAGTTCTCTCTGTCGATTTTCTCTCCTGCAGAGACTCTCACTTTGTCTTCCGTGAGTGAGCAAGTGGGGACACTCAAGAGCACAGAACCCAGCCTGAGTGAGACAAACTGTCCTGGGTCAGCATAGGGACCACCCCCCGAGATCAGCTCAGTGACAAGGGCTTGTCTCTGTCTGAGTGGTTCACTGCTGATCAGAACCGGGGCAACTTTGAAAGAATTTTAATTGTAAATTAAATTAAATTTCATTAGAATTTTAAAAGAAGCCTCTCATCAGTGCCTTTCTACTCTGCCGGTTTTGCCTTTATGTTCATCTTGTGGTTCTGGAAAAGAAAAATTAAACACCCGGAGGGTTTCAGGATTTACAAGGTAAATGCAAAATGCCCTGATTTCGTTGCTTTGTATGCTGGTATACGACCTGCGCTTAGGTTTCCTACCATTTTGGTTTAAAGGCAAAGAAAGAAAGGGGGCAGGAGGAATAACTGACTAAATAATTGGAGGTCTGCCAGCTCTTGAGACAGCTCTTGTTTTATTCTCTTTCATGAGAAGGCCAAGACATCCTGAGATCTGAAAACCACGGAGCAAGAACAAGGACTCTCTGGGGACACAGGCAGGCAGGGTGGGTCTCCATCCACTCCGCTCTGACCAGATGCCTGGTGGGGCAGAGAGCCAGTGCCAGCACACACCCGTGCTGTCAACAACGTCCCAGTGCCTGTTCATCTGTCATCAGGCTTGAGGCTAACGACCACCAGGAAGCTAGTCAAGGAGAGGCTATCACTCCCCTCTTAAAAGGAGGGAAATGGGAGGCTGAAGGCCCCAGGGCGGTGGGCGACTGCGTTGACGATGAACGAGCTGAGTTAAAGCCTTTCTCTTAAACTGAAAGCAAAGAATTTGGTGAAAAGGTAGGAAAACAGGAAATAAGTAGACAAATTTTAACAACGACAACAACAAAATTAAAGATACTTCCTGATAGGTGGAAAGAGAGGAAAAGCCTGGCTAACGGGTCTAACTTGGGGGATAATGTAAAATATGCTTGGGGACAGAGGAGATGGTGGAGTTTTAGATTTAATTTGCAGCCCCATAGAGAAACACTCCCACTCCATCCCCGCCATTTTTAAACCTAAACTAACTGGTTTGCTTGGGGGATATTTAGTTTCTTGAGTTAGTCTTAGATCCTAATTCTCTGTCCAGCACACAGCTGTGAAAGAGTGTCTCTGTCTGTGGACTGCCACCTCACTCTGGCGACTGTCTCCATTGCTATGCAAGAGCTTTCTCAATTCACAGGGTGTCACTTTGCAGGTTTGGATGTTGTTCCCTGAGTGACTAGAGTCTTTTTCAGAACGCCCTCGCTGCTGCCTACACACGGAAGCGCTCCTCCGGGTTCCCCAGAACAGCTTTGGAGTTCATCAGGTTTGCATTTTTTAGACAGGATGAGAGATGTGGAGCAAGTTTCCTTCTTCTTCCTGCAAGTATCAGATTTTCCCAGGACTATTTGTTAAGGGGCTGCCTTTTCTCTCTGTTACATGTTTTTGGCATCTCTGCCAAAACTCGGGGGACTGTAGCTGCCTTGGCTTAATTCTGGGTCCTCTCTTCCACTCCACTGCCCCACGTGCCTGTCTTTGCCAGGACCACACTGTTGCCATCATGGATCTACAGTATGAATGACAGCCGGTATGATGGCAACCTCTATCATTGATCTTTTGCTAAAAGTGCTCATCAGTTCCAAGGTTCTCCTGAAGTCTTTAGGGTCTCCTCTGCACAAGATCAGTGTTTGTAGACGGGGGTAATTTGACTTATCTTCCTATTTGCATCCCTTTTGTCTCCTTCTCTTGTCTAATTGTTGGAGTTCAGAAAGGAATGTGCATCCTTGTCTTGTTGATTTTAGTGGGAATGCACTGAGTGATTTTTTTCCCATTTAGTATAGTATTGGCTGGAAGTTTGTAGAATACAGCCTTTATTATGTTGACATATGTTCCTAGCTTCTTCAAAGTTTTTATTATGAACACATATTGGACAGCAAAATGGCAGGTACCAAGAGAGTTTGCCTTTGAGTCTGTAAACCTCTGTTCACCAAAGGAGGTTTACCAAGCAGTCTGAGAAATCAGGAGGCACAGGGGCCACATCTGTGTGATGGACATACATTAACTGGATGGGCAAACCTTTGCCCTTTCCCTTCCTGACCACGTGTCACTTCAATAGAGGTAGGAAAGGCACGCACATACTATGGACTCCTCATCAACCACATGACGGAACTTTTGTGTCTCTGAAATCTCTAAGAAGGGATCCCACATGGACCTCCATACTCCTCAGAGCCCCCGCCATGCTCTCTGTCATTGGAAGTATATAACTCCCTGGAGAATCTCTTGCTTCAAAGGATAATAATCCATCTTGGTATCCCTCTCGAACCCTTAAATCTAAGACTTTACAAGAAGCACAATGCAAATGTTCTGACGCGAGACCCTAAGTCCCTGTGGCTATACTCACCTGCATTGGCAGCAAAGCACCGCCCAGATGAGGCTGAGCCTCCTCCACAGACCCCAAGCTTTTTCGCTCTGTCTTCTGGGAACTCCTTTCTCTTTTTTTACAATTCATACTAATGGTTTTCCATCATCATCCCCAGCTGGCTTCCTGAGAAGGGTGTCTACTTGCCTGTTCAGTGGAATCCAGCTTATCCATCATCATCCCCAGCTGGCTTCCTGAGAAGGGTGTCTACTTGCCTGCTCAGTGGAATCCGGCTTACCCATCATCATCCCCACCTTCCTGAGAAGGGTGTCTACTTGCCTGCTCAGTGGAATCCGGCTTACCCATCATCATCCCCACCTTCCTGAGAAAGGTGTCTACTTGCCTGTTCAGTGGAAACCAGGAGGTGCCAACACACACGCTGTTGCCAGTGGGCACTTTAATATCGGAAATCTTCAGAGGCTTCAAGTTATATGCGTACAATAATAAGACCTAAAGAGAAATAAGGACGTACAAAAGCAGACATCAAAACTACACCTGAAAATCCTCATAGCAAAGATCACCATGTTTTAAAGATCTTTTCTGTAGAAAAGAAATGACTGAGTTCCCCTGCCCCATCAATTCACTTTGAAGAGAAATATGAGCGGTACAAAGCTAATTTGGTTGTAGCAATGCATTCTTGGAATCCCAGAATGTGGGAAGCAGAGGCACAAGGTTTGAGAGTTCAAGTCAACCTAGACGACATAGTGAGTTAAACACACGCACGCACGCACGCACACACACATGCACGCATGCACACACACATACACACTGCCTAGAAAAAAAGGCACAAATGTCATTACATGAAAATAAGTTCTATTTGGAGTGATGTTTTACACTGCAGTTAGATTTAAGTTTCAGCATTTGTCAGCCCTCTGCAAAAAACGCAGACACCTGGTTGGGTATACACTCTGTTTCTCATTACTTCTCAATAGGTACACCTTCCCATACACCCACGGAAAGAGTGCTCTCCTCCTCTCTTCTCCATTTATTTCAACTCCACACAGCTTCATAGGCCCGTTAAAGAGGAGGGACTCTCTTTTGGTGACTCGAGCCCCAGTAAGTTCCCTGTTGCGTGGATTTGGATAATTCTTCGAGTCCACTCCATGCAATGTGGGGTCACAGACTGTGAGATTCACAGACCCTCCCTTCACTTTCCAGGTTAGGAAGCAGAAGCTCAGAGCGGACCATTGAAACTCTACTTGCATGGAAGCAGAGACGCGTGCGTCAGGCCCGCGCATGCCTCTCTGCTTCCCTGCAAGTCAAAGTGAAGAGTAAAAGGATACCTTTAAGCTATGAATCTGCACAGACAAAAAGGAAAGGGAGTGAAAGAGATGGGATTTGGCAGCGCTTTGAAGAACAGAGAGCATTTGGGAGACTCGGTAGAGAGGGAGGGCTGCACCCCGAGTGTCTTCAAAAGGATTGCCAACTTCAAGCATGACCTAGAATGGGGGAAAGCTCCTGGATTAGAGGGTCAGGCACCTGAGAAGACGAGAGCAGGTGGGACTGCAAACAGAAGTGTGAGAACCGCTCTCACCGGGCCCCTTCCTTGCCCAAGTGGGGCGATGCAACATTTCCCAGGACACTGCTCCTGGGTGAACCGTCCTCACTCTGTACCCTGCAAATGGTAAATCAGATTTTCTATATTCAAAAGTGTCTTTAGCCCTGGGGGCTAGGTGCTGAGGGAAATATTGGAATTAATGTATTATGAATGTGAGATCTACACACACCGGACCACAGCAGGATGAAGCATATCTGCATAGTCCCTCTGGGATCATTGACCAGTTAAAGTGAAAAGATTCGCAGATACCGGCATTTCAGCACCCACCAATGAACCGCTGGCTCGCCCTCCAGCTATCCTACAATGAAGCCTAGACATCAATGAGCCGGGCACCGCGTGTCTTCAGTGCCTCTCCCAACATAATCAGATGGCCAAAGATCCGCTAGAAAGGAAGGGAAAGGCGGAAGCCAAAACTAACAGAAGAAAGGGACTCGGAGGACCAGACATAAGACAGAACAGCAGAAACTATCAATGGCCCCAACAAACTTAGAGAGGGAGAGGCGATAAGCCCGAGAACAAAGAAGATGGAGGGATGACATGGCATGTCCGTGAAAGGGGAACACGGGGCTGCTGAAACGGAACAAAGAGCAGGGACAAAAGTAGACACTGTCACAGCTAAATACGCAACGAAATATTTGAAGCACAAAGATGAATCTGTCTCCCCCCAAAAGCAAATCCTAAATCCAAATCACAGATAAGAGGGAGAAAAGGATAAGAAACGTAAACTTTGAACCTATCAGGTTCACTCTTTGAATAACAGGAATTCAAGAATATGCAGAGAAAGCCAGAGGGAAGGTCCTGATAGAGATGAAATCTCTGTGGACTGAATACGGGGTGGTCCAGGTTGAAAAGAGTGCCGTCGGGATCCAGCAGAATGGATGGGACATGAAACCAAGGCGTGCCGTAGGGTTTCATTACATGTGAGACAGAAGAAAGATCCCAGGGCTTTCAGAGTCACAGAAAAAGACCTGGCATCCCACTGGTATACACCCAACGGCGAGGAAATCAGTCAATCAAAGCGATCGCTGCACTCTGGTGTGTAGCATAGCAGCATTCTCAACAGCTAAGACGTGGAATCAACCTGTGTCCATCAGCACGTGAATGGGTAGATAAAATACCTTCAAAATAGAACACCGGAAAGACTTGAAAATGAAATCCTGAGATTTGGGATGTGAGTGAACCTATAAGACAGAATGTGAAGTAAACTAAGCCAGCCCCAGAAATGCAGACACTGCATGGCCTCACTCGTGGGATCAGACAGGGAGCTCAAGGAAAATGACAGTACGTAGTGTTTATCTGGAGGTCTGGGAGGGAGCTCACAGATGTTAGTTAAAGAGTATGTAATCAGCTAGATGGGGGATACTGTGTTGCGTGGGTGTGCGTGCATGTGTGCATGCATGCATGCGTGCGTGCGTGTATGTGTGTGTGTGCGCGTGTGTGTGCACGTACATGTGTGTGCATGTGTGTGCGTGTTCATGTGCATGTGTGTGTGCATGTGTGTGCATGTGTGCGTGCCTGTGCGTGTTTAGAATAAGCAAACGTAGAGATAGAAAGTAGATAACTGTCGGGGTATTGGGCCGGGAGAGCAGTAGTAGGAGGGGTACAGAGAGATGGGAGTGGGTACTAACAGTTATTGAATTTCTTATATGGGGAAATGTGTGAAACCGATGCAGAAATAGCTGTGCAACTCCATGAATCTACTGAGAACACTGGATTATATACTTCAAATGGGTGAACTGACGATCTATGAACTGTATCTCTGTAAAATTGGGGGGGGAGGTGTGGGTGTGCATGCATGTGTGTCTGTCTGTCTGTGGAAGGAAGAGGTATATGCATGTGTATATTGCTTTGCAGATGTAGGTGCATGCATGTGCACATGCATGTGAAAGCCAGAGACTGACAATGGATGTCTTCCTGAGTTGTTATTTACCTAGTGTTTTGAGACAGTCTCCCACAGACCTTGCAGCTTGCCAGTTTGACTAGACAGGCTAGCCAGTGAACCCAGGCATCCTCCTGTGTAGGTGCCTGTTATCACACTGGGATTTTGTGTAGCTATGGATATCCTGGAACTCGCTCTGTAGACCAGGCTGGCCTCAAACTCACAGAGATCTGCCTGCCTCTGCCTCCCCAGTGCTGGGATCAAAGGCGTGCACCACCACTGCCCAGTGGGATTTTTTTTTTTTGACAAATTTTATTATTTTATATTATATATATATATATATATATATATATATATATATATATTATAAAATTTTAGGTAATATTTATACCTTAAGAAAAGT